AGGAAGGAAGGAAGGGAGGGAAACTCAGAATTTTCTTCCCTACTTCCCTATTCCCTATTATATGACTCAGAATTTTCTTTCTTATTCTTTGTGGTCTATTTGTTCTCAATGATATCATTTTAAAATAAGACAGATAAGGTCTTAGGATCCTGTGATAAGTAAAGTATGTAAACCACTTTAACTCTCAGGGTACAAGCCAGAGGACACACAGAAATATCAATACCATCTTTCTGTAGAGGGACCTTTCTGGAAGTATGACAACAAACAGGATTTTGCTTAATTTTTTGATATTTGGATTTTCCTTGTTTTATACTTAACTATGTCCTTGTTACCCTTCAGGAAGTTATTGACATGAAGTCTGAGGGACAGGCCACTGTAATTCAGCAGCTGGAACAGACCATCGAAGATCTGAGAACCAAAATAGCTGAACTAGAGAGGCAGTATCCTGCCCCGGACACAGAGGGGGCCAGCGGTCGCCAAGGGCTTGAGAATGGAGTGACGGCCTCCGGAGATGTCTGTCTCGAAGCTCTCAGGTTAGAAGAAAAGGAAGTTCGGCATCAAAGGATTTTAGAGGCAAAATCGATACAGACTTCCCCGACAGAAGAGGGCGGGGTACTGACACTGCCTCCTGTGGATGCACAGCCGGGGGGTCCTCCCTGCTCCCCTGGGGCTGAAAGAGGACCTCAGACAAAGTTCTGTTCAGAGATTTCTTTGATTGTGTCTCCAAGGCGAATATCAGTCCAGCTCAACAGCCATCAGTCCGCACAGAGCACCTCACAGCCTCCACAACCTCCATCCCTTCTGTGGTCTGATGGTCAAGGACAGCCTGGGTCACAGCCGCCCCATTCCTCTCTCTCTACCGAGTTTGAAACCAGCCATGAACACTCTGTTTCCTCTGCCTTTAAAAACAGCAGTAACATCCCATCTCCACCACCTCTGCCTTGCACAGAGTCCTCCGGCTCCATGGCTGGCCTGGGCATGGTGCCTCCCGCCCCTCCCCCTCTCCCTGGCATGACAGCACCTACTCTACCCAGTACAGGCATTCCCCCACCTCCCCCTCTGCCGGGTACAGAAATGCTGCCACCGCCTCCCCCTCCTCTTCCTGGAGTGGGCATACCTCCCCCGCCCCCACTTCCTGGAGTGGGAATACCTCCTCCTCCCCCTCTACCCGGAATGGGAATACCCCCTCCTCCCCCTCTACCCGGAGCGGGACTACCTCCCCCTCCCCCACTTCCTGGCGCGGGCATACCCCCTCCTCCCCCTCTACCAGGAATGGGAATACCTCCTCCACCTCCTCTACCCGGAGTGGGAATACCTCCCCCTCCCCCACTTCCAGGAGGAATACCCCCTCCGCCCCCTCTACCCGGAGCGGGAATACCCCCTCCGCCCCCTCTACCCGGAACGGGAATACCCCCTCCGCCCCCTCTACCCGGAGCGGGAATACCCCCTCC